TCCTACAGGCTTCAGCAACACCTGTTGAAGTTACACGTTGTCAGATTTAACACTGCCTTGCTAGCCTGAATTTGCCTTTGCAGATAGGCAAACTGGTGGCTGCAGGACAGGGAATCTGACCTGATACTACTTGATGTTAAAGAAGCTGATATTGTTTCAGCAAACCCTGTGTTTTTCTGATGTGAATGTGCTCCTGGTCTGCATTTCCAGTTCACAAAGTATGCCCTCACAGAGCCTGTGTAGAAGCAGTTGCAGAGGAAAAGCGATGCCTCAGAATGATTGCTCTCATATTGCCGAACTCTCATCAGGGCCAATCTAATTAAACTGCATGCATGGAAATGAAAGAGCTAATCTAACCCTTACCATGGCAGTCAAAGCGTGCAGTTTAGGTAGTTGCCAGTGTCTGTCTTAAAAACAATAGTCCCAGTCCCAATGCAGTTGAAGACACTTGGCGCGGTGCCACTGACTTCATGGGGGTCAGAACTGAGCTCAGTGTTCTATTTTAGACAGCAGAGTTGAAGGAGAGGATACCGATCTCTGTCAATAACTTAAAACTGAATCCAGTTGCCAGACCATCAGATAATTTCTTAGGAAAGTTGGTTAGGCTTTTCAATATCAACACTGGGTTTCAGCGGTATATTTGCTGAATTACTCTTCTGATAAAAACACTTAATAAGCAAGTCTGCTCTCCATCTGGTGCTGATCTTAAAATACAGTGATATTGGCAACTAATTCATTCATGGACAGAATAAGTATAAAAACTGCATAAATCAGTTAATACTGGTAAGACCAAAACTTATTTGTAGCTTCTTGAAAACACAAACTATGAACCTTTCCTCTTAGGACAAAAACTCTTCGTGAGATGGAGGAGTCTTCTGCACACTTCTGGTGCCGAAATATCGATAGTGATGTTTGGTCTTTGCAGACTCCTTTCTTGTTAATTCTTTTTCCAAATATAATACTATACTTGTCTTGAAACTGGTTACACTCATGTTAAGGGCAAAATTTCTGCACTTCAAGGATTCAGTTTTATCTTTAAGGCTTTCATCTTGCATCAGTAACTCTAAGTGCTTTCTAGTGATGCGCTGAGCAAGGAACTAACATCCTTCTTTGTTGTTTTAGTGCCAGATAAAAGTTATATCCAATGGTGGGCCTCCATTTGCCATGGGGATGCAGTTAAAGGGACTACAGTGTACGGGTGTTAGGCCATTTGAGCAGTGCTATCTAGAAATTATAGTGATTATATATATATTAGGATTTAGTTTACCTTCTAGGTCCCTATTCTGAATCACTAAAAGAAAATCATGCTAGTTCTACTTTTTTCTAGAATCTCTACTAAAAGTCTGGTTTAAAATGAGTATGGGAAATCCACTAGCAGATAAGGATGAAACATCCCAGGCATAGGATTAAAAAGGGGATGAGTTCAGAAGAGAAAAGTATATGCATTGCTTTATGGCTTAACAGTGACAGAAGACATTTTTTCAGGTAAGGATGTAAATATCAAAACTAAAAGGCTGTATTGACACACACCAACAGTCATAGTATCAGAGTTTCGCTGACCTTCTTATTGAATTACCTGGAAGGGCAAGGGGTCAACATCAAGGGTCTTGATGTCTCAGGCTATCAGAGATGAATGAAACCCCCTGAAGGCTTGAAGTAGTGAGAAAAAAAAATACAGACTGCTCTGTTTGATGGTCAGTTCACCAAAGTCCTTTATGATCCACATTAGAGTTCACTGCATAATGTATGCCCCATCCAGTAATTTCTGTTTTCCTTTCTCCATAAACTCCAACTGCCTGATTTTTCATATGAGGTGAAAGGGGGATAGCACACCTCATCAGCTTGTGAGACTCAGGTCTATAATCAACATTAGACACTCAGGTTCAAGTTCCTCATCAAAATGCTTCCAACTTGGGGTTTGAACTGGCCCTTTAAAATTCCAAGGGGATATCTGCTAAAGGGTTGGATTTCTACTGTTGCTCTCTTTTTAATTCCCACAAGCAATCCCATCCAGTGCGTAATGTATTAACGAATAGTGGAGGCCAGGCTTCATTTGGTCTCCTGACTGCTGCATCTGGGAGTGTGTCAAGACACAGAAATCCTCCCTTTTAATTTCTCCTTTGTGATCTTCTGCTATATGTTTGATATTGTTCACTGTTACCTTGTGAAGTCACATTGACTGAGACCATTCTTTGCATTGCTGTAGTCAGCAACATGTTTAGTCTGGTCCAGAAAAAAATTGTACAATTACCATCCAAGATATGTGGTCTTTCAGCCTATAGTGCCCCTGTGGCCCATCAGCCACAAGAAGCTATCACAAAGAGATGTTTCAAGACCAGCCTGCTCGAGCTTGTAGGAACTGCAAGCTATTGTCTGCTAGAGGTGGTAAAGAGCCCATCTCCCATGTGACTGAGAAAACCTTCCCCAGCAAACTCTGAATTGAAACAGGCATATTTTAATGAAAAATGTCTCTTCTGAGGACCTAACATCCTCCAAAGAAAACGGTTCACTGAGAAAGTCCCTCGCTTTACTCTACCCCATATACCAGTTGGCTACACATAAGCACAACGGACCCTGCATCTTCCTTTCCTTGTGTTTGGAGGAGACGAGTGGGAGGAAGTGCAAAGACCCGATACCAACCTCATTCGAATGGAGAGCTCCTCTTCACAAGTGGTTACTTGTCTGTTCTGAGCAATTGCTTTCCTGGCCTTTTGTGCCTCTCAGATGGTAAGACAAAGCTGAAAAGTAAGATATTGTAAGATTTCCACTTAATTCATACAGTCAGCTTAGAACAGCTGCAGACAAATACAGATTCAGGACAAGAGAGTGCAGCTCAGGACAAACACTACTCTAAAGGACTGCTGATATGAGTTTGACAAGCAAAAACTTGTTGTTTAAGTCAATAGTACCAAAGAGCCTGTCTATTGAACAGAAAGCTCACAGCTGCTCACAGCAGGACACTGCTGCTTTAACAAGATTTTCTCTGGCTGCTCCAATTCCCTTTAATTTTTTTTTTTTTTTTTTTAATCATCTTTCAAGCTACAGCAGCATTTGTTGTCCTGAGGTGCTGACTCTAGTGGAAGCTTTTAGTTTGAACTGTAGTTTGCACAGGCTTCATTTCAGGTCACTAATCACATCCTCCTCAGGCTCTCCTCAGGCTCTTGCATCGATTGTCCTCCAGCTGGAGGAATTGTCTGAGAGAAATGACATGACTGGTGTGTTGAGGTCACATTTCTTGATTGAGGGTGGAGTGAGGGAAGCTGCTGCCCTTTGGATTCAGGGAAGACCTGACATTTGAATGTGGCGTGGATGCGCAAGCTTGCAGCCTTCCTTCTCTGTCATGCCCATCTGCTGCCCCCCAGGCAGCCAGTTACATTGGGAATGGACAAGAAGAGAGAGCAGATGATGTGATGGGTGACTTGAGCTGGCAACTGGATGCTGAGCAGCAAAGTGTCTCTGCTGAATTAGGCTACTTCACCAACAAAAGACTCATTGACTGTTCTCTCAGCCACCACCAGAAATCCACATGAAGGACTTGAGTTGACAGGGTCAGAAGTTTGCCCCAAGGCAAATGTAGAGAACAAAACACTCATAGAACTAAAACATACTTTATGTTTTCCAGTATTACCTGTATAACCAGGTTTGACAGAATGGAAAAGTAGGAGGCCAGGGGGTCTAAAAGCATGAGATGAAGGGCTAGTTGAGATCCTTTGGCACATTTTTCTGTGAAAGCTGGAATAATGCAATGGAGCTTGGCTAACCTAACTCCAGGACCAAGCTGTCTCCTACCTACCATCTCAGTAAAAAGGCAGATTACTTTGTCTAGATACACAATAGGGTACTTGGAGAGCTCATTGCTCCAGTACCTACACGAGGGGAATCTTTTTTACTGAGTGGAATTCTCATCCCCAAGTTAGGATTTTATTTCCCTTTCCCCACATAAATCCCTTTTTTGACAAGATGTAAATATTCTGTGGACAAGGCTTCTTTGACTCTTTCCAGTGACATTCATTTTTTAAAGTGACAGGGCAAAAAAGTAGAAAGCGTGACCTTCTAGCTTGAGATTTACCAGTTATTTTCTGGTGAGAATATTTTTTTGAAATATGATACGGTGTCCCACTGCTGATTCAAATGGTTTTGAAGTACTGCCTCTAGCCTAGGGAGTATTTGCGTGTTCATATAAAGAGTGAACCCTCTGTGATCTTGGCTTCTGACTGGTTAGAAAACGTCCTCAGGAAGATGGAGATGAAAGTTCAGATACAGGCAGACAAAGGAGGGAATTGGGATTCTTAAGCAAGGGCTCTTAGCACTCAACTAGGAGGTAAGGAAAATTATGCTTACTCTACTCACCCTCATTTCTGGGAAGTGGTAGAACTTGGGTTCCTAACTAGCGAACACCGTATTACTTCTGGATTTAAACAGAGGCCAGAGCCTAGGCACTTGGGAAACTGAGTCCACTATGAGTGCAGGATTATACAGCAACAGACTGAACTGGAATTATGATGTTCTACATTTTGGATCACAGTAGCTATGCATGCAATTAGTAAGGATTTAAGCATCTAATTCCTCTTGTGACCCAGCCTTTTCATCCCACATCAAGGAACTGTGGTTTGGCCTCATGAAGCATAGATCCTTGATGGTCTGTCAAGTGTGGCATCGAAGACCGTATCCCTGAGGTGATAAAGTTAATGAAGAAATGTGTAAGGAAAAACTCTTTTACTGATGTTGAATTTCATTAACCTGTCTCACAAGAGCCCTTTATCGCCTCAAGACGTGTCCTGTAATTTTTCTAAAGGCCTGTGGAGTGTCAGCTTGCCATGTGACTATCTGTAACTTCGAACACTTTCGCCCCGTTACATCCAACAGCGTCGCCAAGGCTATAAAAAGAGGAAGAACTGCAACCCTCACAGACAGTGAGGACGGTTTGCTAAAGAGGCTGCAATAGTTGGACCAGTCATGTGATAAATCAGTAAGTGATGTCGTCTCTCTTTGTTTTTAAGAGTGACCTGGAGCTCATGCAGTAGCGCGATTCTCCAGATGGCTTTCAACGGCATCGTCTTCCGTAACACACCAGTGAGCCACGAGACTGAGACAGAAATTCCAGTGTGGGGAGGGTGTGAGTCATGAGATGGTGAGTGAAAGAAACAGCAGGATAAAAATAACAGAGCAGAATATGATGCAGAATATTAATCTCTTACCCTGTGTTATCCTAACTTGTATTACATATACTATTATGTTATGCTGTAGAGGCTCTACTGGTCAAAACAGATCTCTCTATGCTACTCTGAAAGATTATGGCTCACGATGCCACATTGCAGGGACTTCCCATACTTATGTCTTTAAATTGGCTGAAAATCCTTCATCAAGAAGTTCCTGCAATAGATAATACATAATCAAAGAGTATCAAAATGCTGCTTCTGCAACATTCATGTTTTTATGTTTTGTATGAAAATATCAAGTTCTGTTAACAACAATTGAATACGTTTATTTATTGAAAAATTAAAATTCTATCTCTTTAAAGTCCTTCTATTTTTCCAACCTTCCTTTTTTAATTCTTCTTCCTTCAGTAGGAGAAAATAAAGAAGAAAAGTATAAAAACACCGTGGAAAACTGACATAAAATTCAACTTTGATTCTAGCTAACACGAGTCAGTAGAAAAAAATAGAAAAAGTAGAATCAGTAAAATCAGAAGAAAAGCCAGGTATTTTATTTTGCAATGTGAATCCCTATTTTTCTACTCAAATCTGGCATTCTGTCCTAGCTGAGCTTCATTCTGAGATCACTCAGAACAAAACCAGGAACCCTTCTAGGGAGCTATTGTTTGCAGCTCAGCTAGTTTGAAGTATTTGAGTAAAGCATCTAACCCAGTCACTTTGACATCTTCTCTAATCACTGGAGGAAGGCAGTGATCTTCAGAGAGCTATTTGGAGCCTAGGAAGCCTATTACCATGTTATTTTTCAGTTCAGTCAGGAATCTGGGCATCATAAAGAGAGCAGGATCTTTTCCTTTAACTTCAAAAGGTGCCAGCGCTGGCACTGAGCCTTCGCTGCAGATTAACACGTAGACAGCTCTTTTGAAAGAAACTGTGTCTCTGTTATTTGGGATTGGGGAGAAAAGTTTATTTTATTTCACACAGATTCAGTTCAGAGTATTTCAAAGGGATTTTGCTTTGCTTTTTTTTTTGTCATGTAAGTCACCTTGGGGCTTTGTCAGGACTGTGGAAAACTTTGCCAAAACTGGGGGACGCACGAGCAGATGACGGCAACCTTCTCTGCCAGTCAGTGGGGTGGCTGTGCGGTCCACGTGCTGCAGCACTCGGGCTGTGAGTGAGCAGTCTTTGTAGGGCTTTCCCTCCTCGTTGCCCTTTCAGGGCTGCCTGATGAAGCGAAGCATTTGCACACACACTGAAAAAAAGGTGCTCTTTAATCGTGATCAGTTTAAGGTCATTTGATTTAAGGCAGGCATGTGTATAAAGTAGTATGCTTTACGTATGCCGGTCAGAATACTCCTTGCTCCCTTTCAGACCCAGTTGAAACCAATTTCTTTGATCCCACTAAGTTGAAACTACTTTGAAATATCCCTTTTTTCTTATTCTTTTTTTTTTTTCTATTTTGTCTTACAGAGGCTGTCTGGCAAGCTATTTGGGAATATCTTTCCTGTTTTTTAAATACTATTCTTAAGCAATCTTCTGCTATTTTTTACATTTATAATTCCATCTATTTAACTTATTCTTGTATATCAAGTCTTCTTATTTTCCAATACGTAAAGAAAAAAAACACTTATTTTTGAAGTTATACAAAAATGGAAGTCATTGTAATCATGATTTGATGTCCTTGGAACACATTTTATTTACTATTCAATATCCACTGTTTTTGTTAGGACATTGTTTGAACGTAACTTTAAGCCTAATAAAGTTTCAGGACCGATCTCCTGGGAGAGGATATTTATGGTCTGTATTTGCAGAGAGGGAGACTGGAAGTAGAAAAAGGCTTAAGTATTTAGGCCTCAGTTCAACTCCGAAGTCAGGCGAAATCTGTCCGTTGCAAATAGTCATTTGACCAGTTGAATTAGTTCAATATGCAAACGCCCAGCTTGACGGGAGAATTGAATTCAAGTGTGCTCATTGCAAGCAGAAATGTTGGCCTCAGATTGCATGCATTACTTCAGGGGAACTGACCTATTTTTCTGAAGGGAAAAAAAATCTACCTTAAAAATCTAATTTGCAAGAGCTGTAAGAGTGGAAACAATACTGTTTTTCTCTAGGATATTTGGTTATGCGAACAAATTGATGAAGAAGATATTTCCAGCAGGAAAACCACTGACGGTGCTTGGTGTCACTCAATTAATATTAATGCCCTTGAAAGGAAAGTGAAATAATGATGGATCTTTCACTTGGTCCTAAGCCATAATTCTGTACACAGTGTGAAGCCTAATGATTTGCTCTTGATACTTACTATAGATTTTTGCATTGCAGAGGTCTGATTGCTTTCCTCCTGCAGATACTGACCATTAGGAAGACACTGCTGCGGAGACTGAAACCAAACCCATTTATTCCTTGTTCTCAAGTCATCTTGGGTTAAAAGTTGCTGAACATTTTTCTCCTGGATAAATAACTGCGATGTCCCCATCAAGCATATGTTCTCAGTGAGTTGGATTTCTTCATTCAAACTGTTGAAACGCTGTTCTGCTGGGAGGTTTCTCTCATAGAGGAATTGTTCAGCACCACAAGAGGAGTATGCAGGGGTCCCATAAAAGTTTAAATGTTTTGAACTCACTCCCAGGCACAAGAAGACTATTTGAGATTTTGTTTGGAAATAAATGAGTTCTTGTCATAGATTGGGCATCTTCTACCATGGTTCTTACCTATCAAAATTTCTCATCATTCTGGAAGCAGATTCAAGTATTTGTTCTTTTTCTTTTATTTGCATTCATCTATGTTTATTTATTTTATATTCTTGAGATGTGTTGCATCTCTGGAGTTTGTATTTCTACTTTTAGCATAAAAATTCTGTACATGTAAGTCTAGAATGCACCTGAAGATTAGTCTAATTTTTCATGTGACTTTAACTTGAACATTTTTCTGTTTATGTTTATATTGCTATTTCAAAAATGTGCATTACCTGTATTCTTTATGCCTTTTTCCCGTCTCTAAGTCAATAAAATTATGTCCCCATTCTGCAGAACCATATCACACGTGCATAACAGTGATAACAGTTTTTGAATAATAATGACTAATAAATGTAAATGGGTTAATCTACATCTATATTTATATCTATATCTAATCTATATCTATCTGTCACAGCCTGAAATTCTTCTGATGTAGGATTTGAGATGGTGAAAAAATTACCAGTGACCAGTAAGCTCCGCTAAGGTATAATTTTTCATAGGGATATTTGGACTTGAAAAGTAGATTTTTCTCCTCCCTAAAAGGTGTATGCTCTTTATTTCAATTCTCACCATGGCTGTATTTAGAACTGGTATTAGCCATGTGAGTCAATGGAGTGTTCCCCATTTCATCAGGCTGCACGTCTTTTATGTCACTACAGCTCAGAGATAAATAAATGACTGCAATATGTCCTTTGTCACAGAATATACAAGTTTCTAAGGAGTGCTAGCTTAACCTTTCAGAGCCCCCAGTTACTGTATGATTAAGAAGGAATATAGTGCAGAAGATCTGCCACTGGCCTGCAAAGGCTTGGGTTATGTTGAATGGCCTAGCATGAGTTTTCTTTGTGAGAGCAGGCATATTAGATGAGTTCCAAACATGGCTCTCATCGGAAGTTGATAAATACTAATTTGAGTACAGATGTTCACTGCCAGGAGAAACTTGAGGCCATTCTACAACAGTAGTTTTTTAGTGCTGTAATATTCCTTTGGGTCTTCAAAGTTTAGTGAAGTCAATGGGAAATTTTCTACCAGTTTCAATGTGTCTGGAACATATCCTTGCTGCAAGTAAGGCTCTATCAAATACAGTTATTTACAAAGCATTCCAAGAGGGAAAGACATTTCTCATTGTTTTCTGTCTAATGTTGTATGCCAAGTCTGTGTTCAGGATTTTAAGTCATATAAATTGAAAACTGCCTCATTTAAATAGAATGAAGTCTGAACAAATTCAATATGCTACTCTATAGGACATTTGCCACAGGGAAAGGGAAAGAGGACCTCCAATGACTTGTCTGAGGACTGTGAGAGACGACAGTGGTCATGATGACAGGTGACTAGTCTGACTCTACAGACTTAGGTACACCAAGACATATCTTCCTCACTGCACTGTTGATTGTAGTTACATTTTCTCCTGTACCCAAAAATGACAGCTTCTGACTCCTGTTACATCTTGGAGATATAGTATATACAGCTAGACATCTCCAATCAGTAACAAGATATATTAATATAAACAAACAGCTGGGACTGGCTTATATTTAGGGTTACTAGTTATAGGACATCTTTCTTCTAGGTGAACTACTGCTGCTGTTTTGCCAAAAGCACGTTCATTAATTTCTTTCTAACTTCTCCTTGTCATTATGAGAGGATAGAAAGCAAGTTTTGACCTCCCGGAGGAATTTGTTTGCTTTCACAAATTGCTTTTATTAGGTATGGCCAATGGCCTTTCTCTTTATTACCTTTCTTGCTCCATTCTTCTGATAAATGCTACCAGGACAGTCACAGCTTACAGTGTCCACTCTTAGCTGTTCTCAAATCCAAAGATAATACTTCTGTTTATAATTCGGTTGTTACTGTAACTTTTGCAGAATTCGGACAAATGCATGGAATTGCAACATATGCACAGTAAAAAAACCCAGGACTTTGTGTCTACTTCTTGTTATGGTAAAGCCAGCAGGGCACAGCTTGGATAGAAATCTTAAAAAAGGAACAGTTATCATAGGGTACAGCCCTTATCTCAGGAAGTCCCCTAAAATTGATTGACTGGGCCAGGAGGGTATGTGCTGATTCTAACATTTCTCCGAAAGTATCTGCCATAGGATGAGTAGATACTTGTTTTGCTCTAGTACAGAATTTTTTGTTCAAGGAAGAAACTGGTAAGGGGGTTCAAGCAAAGGATACTGACAACATGATAACAATTTGAAGGATTGCAGCTTAGCTATGTGGGCTGCTCTGCTAGGAGCTGTACATCTAGATGGATCAGTATTTCCATGGTAGACTTGAAAGCCTGTGATGTTGCCTGCCAGGATCAAGGCACATAGGTAGCTGAAATGGATTTACTCATTCTTTGAGAATTAAGAAGTTCTGAGGATGATTTCTACTTTGGGCTGGGATGAAAAGCTGAAACAGCAAATACGTTAATTGTTTAAAAAGCTTATATATCAGACTAGGCTAATCAAATCACTTTGATTCTATTTATCAGCTTTTAATTTACAATGAAAAAATCAATTTGGATGAAAATATCTTCAACCTGAAAAGGGGAGTTTGCTTAGAAATTGACTCTGTCCCTTACCAGCTCCTAGCCCTATGCTTGGTCTTTGTGCCTGTAATTTCAGGGAAAAAGTTCAAGGTAGGCAGGAAACACAACAGAAAAGTCTCCTAATAATAAGAAAGGTGATAGACTGAAATCCACAAAGGTGAACGTGGTGCAAAGACCTGGCTACGATAGGGTGTTTAATCATAGGATTTGGATCTATAGACTTGCGAGTGTGTTTGCATCAAAGAAACCTTGCAGGGCACGTGCCCACAATATGCCCAGATGGATCAGCTGCCAGCACTCTACTGAACACTAAGTTCATTCATTATTATTGCTGGGTTTTTAGGAGACAAGATGAGCAAAATCAACATCAATCTCCAACAGATGGGACTAGAGAAGGGCAGCTGCAGGCATACGGTGTACTACATAAGGCATGCAAGCACACGTGGAATCCTCTGCCCCCAGAGCTCTGGCATTTCCGTTACACAGGCAGTAGGAAAATACAATTATCTGAATTAACTGTCACTCCACAAATCCCTTTACTTCGTGCTGCTCAGTCAGGAAAACAGGCAGGACTCAGGGAACACTTGGTACAGAGATGCAGTTTGTCACGTGGCAGCAAGAGCAGCAGTGAAAGAGCATATTACTGCCTACGTGAGATGAGCAAGGGCATTCCTGTGAGCCTCCTGCCTTTTCTTTTTTGTTCTTGGTATCTCATTTTATTTTTTTAACTTTGGGGCTGAAAAGCTGGTAAATAAGATTACAGCACAGGCATGCAGAAAATAAAATACAGTGGAAACGTGTAAACAAGATTACTAGGCCAAAACAGTGCCTCTCAGGACGTTAACTGTACTGTGGGGGGATGTCCAGCTGGGGCAGGCCTTGGGGCATTTTTGCCTGGGTACAGCAGATGCAGGCGGAAAATACTAATGCAGTGCTCTTAGGAGAGCTGCTCTCATCCCTGTTCATTGAGTGTAGACAAAATGAGGGTGGGAAGGAAACATAAGGCATTTGATTTGTTTGGGGTTTTTTTATTATTCTTTTCCCCCACCCCAATGCCCCTGAAAACACGTTGGATTTCCACAACTTTAAAAGGAGCTCAGCTGTCATTTTACTGTCTCTCATGCATGTACCCAGTACACTTTCTGGTTCTATCTCTGCAGGTCACAAAGGTAAGACATTGGGAGTTACATTAGGACAGGAAATCTGATAATGACCAAACCTGTTTTGTGGATGATAGGGAGGGGATACTTTTGGGTGGGTTGTTTGTTGTTGATTTAAAATGCTTGAGGTTGTTGATACAGCCCCTGTCTGCCCAGTCTGGTAACCCGTCCTTAGTAAAGGTCTGAAGTGCTGTGAACTCCTATCTGAGCGCTCTCCATGAGGAAGGGGCCACAGGAGAATAAAATTAGCTTGTGTTTTAAAAAAAAAAAAAAAAACAAACCCACATCATGACAAACCCTCCACCTTTCTGCTTGCTGGCAGAATCTCTGCTCCCTCCCACGCAGCCCCAGCTGGAGAGCCTAGCCTTGCAGCAAAAGCTACTGTGCTCGTGCCAGTCTCTTTCCCCTCGCTGCTCCCTCTCCCTTCCTCCCCCGTAGGTAGCAGCAGCTGCAGCTGCAGCAGCCCTCGTGTCCGACTCCAGAGGGGTGCCCCCCTTATGCCATTTGCAGAAGGCAAAGGAGGAAAACATTTATTTGGTGTTAGGTGGGGTCGGGGTGATCTTCCTAGCCGTAGAGATTACCAAGTCCAGTTCTGCAGTGAGCATCCTACTGCAAGGTTGGAGTAAAGTCTTTCACCCAGGCCCTGAACCTGCCTCATCCATAAAGTCAAGGCAGAGGAGCGCTGTGCTCATGTGCTTCTGAGTTTAAAAATGCCTTTCAGGCTATGGGCGAACCTGATGTTTTGAGTCAGGCTGAGTTAATGTGTTGTGAGGATGATGGCCATGTGGGAGCTTTTTTGCACGTGACTGGCAAACTCTGGTCTACTTTGACAGGGGAAGGATCAGTGCTGTGGCAAAGGGGTCCTCACATGAGAGTGACCCCTTATTCCCCTCTCGGTCAAGCCGGGGAAGGAGGGACTAAGTATCTTACTGAACCATGCTGAGTCCTGGCTGATTCAAGGGCCCTTAGTTTTTACCCATAGTGAGTAAAACTTCAGTTAGCTTTTGGGAAGAAAAGGGGGCAGAAGTCCGGAATTAACTTTCCTGTGGTAACCCTGGGGTCTGCCCCTTTCCCCACCCATCAGTGAAATGCATGCTAACGTGGAAGTTAGAAACAGATGTGTGCTCCACTAGTTAATGAAGTGTGAGTAACTGCTTCCCTTCTTGCTTAGGAAGCACAGCAGAGCACTTGTTTTTGTGCCACAGGCAAGTCTCCAGTCTGAACCCTGACTCTGAAGCTCCAATAAGGCTGCTAGAGAAGAACTGTCAAGGAGTGAGGAATGAGCTGGGCAGCCTTTGGGAACTGAAGGGGTGGCAGCAGCATTGGTTCTATTTATATGTAGCTAAGATCTAATTTATAAATGGACCACAGTTATCATTCCTTAGCTGCGTAGAGGTTACAGGCCTCTGTGAAGGATAACCAGTAACTGGGATTAATTTATACGAGATAACTCACTGAAAGAAGAAATGCAAAAGGCCATTTTGAGAAGAGTGTGCTCCTGAAGTGATGGAAAGCTGACCAAATTGCCAGGTATCTCTTATTTACTTTCCTTTGAACTCACCAAAGTACTTAGAAACCTGTTTTTCTTCACATATTTATGTGATTCAGCTTCTTGCAGAGCTGGAGGTTATAATGACTTATTAATATGGAATGTCAAGTAACTGTGCAGTAGGAGTG